AAAATATTAAAATAAAATAATAAAATAAAAAACTTAATTATAAATATATTAAATTATATAAAATTAAAAAAAAAATCTCTAAATATAATTATAAATTATACTTATTACCTAAGGTTAAGCTCTATTTAATCTTTTATATTTTATTATTTAAATTAATATAAAATATTATCTAAGTAAAAATAAATAATAAGCCTAATATAAAAGTTAATAGATTAAAAAAATATATTATAAAGGCTATTTTTAATATAAATAAAATTAATAATAAAATAATATATTTTATTAAATAAAAAGATTACCTTAACTTAGAAAATATATAAGAACCCCTAAAATACCTTATTAATATATAATACCTTTTAAAGAATTTCTATTAATAATATTAAATATAGGCTTATTAAGACTAATAGTATTCTAATTAATTAAATTAATAGCCCTAAAAGAATATATCTCTATAATAATAAATAACTCCTTATAGAGCTCGCCTAACTCCTCTAAGGTATATAAGCCGCGCTTAAAGGCCTTATTATTATATACTTTAAGTAATTTCTTTTATTTCTTAATATAAATAAGCTTAGCTATTATTTCCTCTAAGGTAGCTTTTACTTTAACCTTCTTATCTTTTAAGTACTTATATTCTTAGATATTTTTTATAATTATAATAAATTAGCTAATAGCTATAAAAAAGTATTAATATATACCTATAGAAAGAAGCTATATTAGCTTTATTATATATTATTTTTATATTAATATAATTAAAATAATAATTAAAATAATTAGAGATTATCTTATAAAATAAGCCTTAATAGAAATAATAAATATAAGGTATAATTTTAAAATTAAAAGCCTTAATATAAATAAAAAGACTTTATATTTTAGAAAGTTTTTATAAGGAAATATACTTAGAAACTTAGCTTAATATTATATTAATAGAAAGAAATTTTTATAAGTTAGAATTACTTATTAATAATACTTAATTACTAAAATTAGTCTTAAGGATAAAACTAATAGAGAGAGAACCTTATATTATAGCTATAATATAAGCTAAGTAGGGAAATATAATAGAAATACTTTAATTAAGTAAAGGACTAAAGGGATTAAGTATTACTTATATTAATCTAAGGACTAAATATTAAAAATATTAGTCTTACCTTAGATTAAACCTAGAGAATATTAATCTAAAGATTAACTATAAATATATAATATAATAAGAGGATATTTCCTGAGGGATAAACCAGTTATATTAGTTTATATTAGCACTAGATTATATTATATAGCCTTAAAGGGTAATATAATATTATATCTAGTAATATACTTAAAGGTATTAAATATAACTAAGTTATATTAATAGCTAAGGTAATTACTATATAAGAAAGTATAAAGAGCGCGTTCTATATACTTATAGTTAATCTTTAGACCGATATTTCCTAGGCTTAATCTAGGGTAAGACTAATATTTTTAATATTTAGTCCCTAGATTAATATAGGTAATACTTAGTCCCTTTAGTCCCTTATTTAGTTAGAGTATTTCTGCTATATTTCCCCGCCTGGCTTATGTCATAGCTATTATATATAGAATATACTTATTATACTTTCTTATATAATAATTACCTTAATTATTAATATAACTTAGTTATATTTAATACCCTTAAGTATATTACTAGATATAATATTATATTAATCTTTAAGGCTATATAATATAATCTAGTGCTAATATAAATTAGTATAATTAATTTATCTCTTAGGAAATATCCCCTTATTATAATTTATATTTTATTATTTTACTTCTTTATAGCTTACCCTATAAGAGAATTATTTAATAAAAAGAAAAGCAAAAGGGCTATTTTATAGTATAAGGTAAGTCTATATAGCTAGCTTAATAAAAAAGATATAAGCTTAAAGAAATAAATCTAAATTATAGCTAATTTATATTTTATTATATTACTTTATTATAAATTACCGTATAGGAAAATTATAAGGCTTATAAAATAAGAAAAAAAAAGAGCTAATTTATAGTATAAAATAGGCCTTAATAATTAGCTTAATAAAAGAGATATAAGCTAAAAGAAATAAATTTAAATTATACTTAATTTATATTTTATTATATTATTCTTTTATAGCTTACCTTATAAGAAGCTAAATAAACTAAAGGAGTAAATAAAAAAGAGGCTATTTAATAATATAAATAGGGCCTAATAGCTAGCTTAATAAGAGAGATATAAGCTAAAAAAAATAAATCTATATTGAGTTAGGGGAAAAGCATGCTAAGCCAATTTGGGCTACTAAGTAATTTCTTATATATAGAAAAGCGAGGCAGAGGCTATAGAGCCTTGCCTTTATTATTACTTTCGGGAGCCTTAACCAGAGGACTTTTAGGCTCCTTCGTGGGTCATATCTTTATTGCTATGAATTAATTAATTACTCTTACTACTTTATATTGAATTTGCCTTATGAGAAAGTGCGTGAGATCTCTCTTTTAAGTAGACCTTAAAAAGAACGCATAGAAAATCCCTTCCTTTAGCTATATGGTTTGGTATGTTCTGTTTCTCTAATAAAATATTATACTTAATTTATATTTTATTATATTATTCCTTTATAGCTTACCTTATATATAAAATAAATAAGATATATCCCTTAGCTAACCCTAATTCAGCCTAGTCTACTTATATAAATATCCTCTAGCTAATTTAAATTATGCCTAATTTATATTTTATTATCTTATTCCTTTATAGCTTACCTTATAAGAAGGTAATTTAGCTAAAAAAGAAAAAGATTAAAGGGCTATATTATAATATAGGGTAAGTCTATATAAGAAATATATTAAGAGAGATATATAAAATAAAAAGGGCATAAATTAAATAAAGGTAAATTACTTTAAAATACCTTAAATCTTAGGGTTAAATTAATATCTTAAGAATAAAATATCTTCTTAATATTTTATTAATTAAGATTAATTAATTATATAACTATAGTCTTTTATCTCTTTATTAAATTTTATATTTATATAATTATAAGAACCTTATTTTCTTAAAACCTAGAGTTAATAATAAAAAAAACCTAGGCTTTATAGGTAAGGTAATAGCGCTATATTAAAAGCCTATATAAAAAAACCTAGGGTTAGTTAACCCCTGATTATAATATATAGTAGGTAATTAATGCGGAAGGATGCTACTTTCGCCTTCGGTTTCGGTTTCGCTTTCACATGTCTGGTCGCCCCATATTAATAAGTTAGTACTACCCTGGATCGCCCAAAGTAACCTCTGTTTAAGCGTTAAAGAGTTCAGTCCGGCTATTCGGATTGCTAAACACGGGCTAAGAATGATAAACGTGCTGCTATTAGCTAGTCATGAATTAAAATTAATTTCGTATTCGGTCCGATAGGGGCACTCCGCTACCTGAACTCGGATCACGACATATGAGAAACCGTAATTCGATCATATTAAAAGGAAGGCTTGTCAAACTTCAAAGCACCAGACACTTGGAGCCAATCCTGATCTTGTATCACTCAACTCGTCTGACAATATGACATCTACGATCCCTCACCCTCCTTATGACGAAGAACTAGGCGAAGCCTTGAACGCTTTCAAATTTCCTTCCCCTATCTTGCCGGAACACATCAAATTATTCAGATCCGCGCCGCTGCCAACTGCCGAAGACGTTCTGGTTGAGCCATACAAGTCCAGCTCTCACATCGAAAAAGTCATTCAAGGTCCAAATGGCGATATTGTTTTGTCTATCTTCACCCCTCACACTGTTGGATCCAGCCCAGCTCCATGTATCTATTGGATGCATGCAGGAGGGATGATAATGGGCAGCCGCTATGGTGGTATTCACCACATCTGGGATTCTGGACTAGACTGCAGCGCCGTGGTCGTATCTGTCGAATACCGCCTCGCCCCTGAAAACCCCGACCCCGCACCTCTTGAAGACTGCTACGCAGGATTGGAGTGGGTAGCGTCACATGCTACCGAGATAAACGTTGATACTGCCAAAATCATGGTTGCTGGCGTGTCCGCTGGAGGAGGCTTAGCCGCTGGTATTGCTCTTCGAAGCAGAGACTTCAACGGTCCAGGCATTTACGCCCAATGTTTGAGCTGCCCCATGTTGGATGACAGGTGCAGTTCACTATCAAATCACCAGTATGAAAACGAAGGAACGTGGAGCAGGATTAGCAACTTGACGGGCTGGAAATCTCTACTTGGGAACAGACAGGGCAGCGACGAGGTTAGTATTTATTCGGCCCCAGGCCGCTCAGAAGACTTCAGTAGCTTGCCGCAGACATTCATGGAAGTAGGGAGTGCTGAAATCTTTCGGGAAGAGGTTGTTGGCTATGCAAACGGACTATGGGCCGCTGGTGGACAGGTTGAGCTGCATGTCTGGCCAGGTGCATTTCACGCCTTTGACAGTTTGGCTCCGCATGCTGAGTTATCAAAGATGGCGAAAGCGACCAGAAGGGCGTGGATTAAAAGGATATTCTCCAAGTAGTCAACTACCGCCTTCTCGCACCCCCAAGCCGGCCATATACTTAGCCGCCCAAATTGCACATTACCTTTGTCATATGCGCAACAACCTCTTGGGCATTCATCCTTTCGAAAATCATCCTACCTAGCACGCGTGCTTATCGTAACCTTGAATTAGCAACTTATTTTGTGGTCCGCATCGCGACGTAGCACTGGATTCAGGCCGTCTTCATGTGAAGCTTGGCCACTTCGACAGTATTCGACTACTTGAGCTCCCACGCTCCAGCCCTGACAATCCGATACACCGACAATCATTTTAAACCACGATAACCCGTGTGTTCGGATTTATTGTGTGTCAAAGTCAGGTCTCTTCCTGCAATCGTGTTTAAATTTTCCAACCCGTGAATAACCCCATTTCTTGCACTGCGAGGCTCATCTTCCAGCTATTAGGTTTCTATGGCTATAGAGCCTTATCTTAGGTTTTCGGTGTTTTGCAGTATTGGGTTTTAATACTGCCGTGTGTCTTCAACTGTCTCCTTTGCTCCTGTGGCTGACAGAGATGTGATCAAAAAAATAGAATAGAACCACGATAACTTACGCTATGAGGTAGTAAAAATTAGAGGACTAGATGCATTCGGTTACGGTTTTACCGCCCTATCATATCTACCAAGTTTACTTTGTTTTGGAAAAATTTGGTTCTCTGAATAACCCGTCATTCCCTGACAGCCTGGCCCCCTGATCTCCATACGACTCCTTACTAAACAATCATGACGTATATGTACCTAGTAAACTGGCTTTTCTTCATCCCACCTTGTCACTGTCTCACTCCTCCTCGAATTCCGACCGTCGACGTTTGGATCCCGCGCTTGTTTTGGGGCTTGTGCTGTGGAAGTTCCCCTGGTAGTCGTCATTCAGCCCGGTCTTCTTGCAGCGATCAACACCGAGCAACAGCTTCGAATACGCTGCCGCCGTAGCAGCCGCATAGTTCTGCCAGTCGTCGTTCTTGTGCACATCACAGTAATCGCAGATGCCGCGGATCACGAGGCAAGGAACCGCGTTGACCACGCCAGCGGCCTCCATCTCGAAGCACAGCACACCATGCTCGCGAGCCAGCTCGTCGCGACGCTTGGCATTTTTGATGACACTGTTGCCTGACCCTATGGGCCCATAATGAATCGTTGTTGGACGTGGAACACGCTGCCGCACATGATAGCCTGGACAGACCTTTTCCGATGACCGGCACGCCGTACAGGTTTCGTACAGTACATCCTCCTGGGCTGGGCGGCGGTATTCGGACATGAGCTTGGTAATTTTGGCAAGGTGTGGTTTCAGCGGGTCAGATGGCGGGTTAGGGACTGAGAGGAGGGCGCTAACGGCGGAGGCGAGAAAGCGCGGCGGATCTCGCAGCCTACCTGTCGGCTCAAAGATGTTGCTTTCTTTGTCTTTGCCAAGGTCGTACTGAACCACACTGGGGGACCTGCCTTCAGGAATACCAACAACCACATCGCCAAGGCGGATATCATTGTGTTCCGAGGGGGCGCCGCCAGCGATGCCAACTAGGAGGCAAAACTTGAGTGCCGGAAAGCTGCGCACCATGTTGGACGCGACCGATGCAGCTGAGTTGGTCCCGTACTCGCCGGCCGGGAGACATGCGGTAACGACCATGTGGTTCGCCATGGCGCCGAGCGCATACTGATTGTCGTCGCCTTCTTCCCTTTCGAGGCTGCCATGTTCACTGTCAAAGAGCGCTCGCACTGCCTTGAGTTCTTTCCACAATGCGCCAATGATTCCGACCTTGTAAACTTGTCGAGAATATGTTCTGCAACCCATGGAAGCTGCTGAGTTTGGCATCCTATTGTCGGCGTGGAAGTCGCTTGGAGACCTCATGAAACGAGTGTTCGACCCTGACTCAGACACGGACATTGCCAAACTTGAGCCAATACCGCTATCTTTGAGCGAATCTGGGTCTGCTTCAGCCGACAGCTCATCTTCTTGAGGATAGCCGGTGTCCCCCCAGACCCACGAGAAATTCGAACTATATCCAAAAATGAGAGCTGGTAGATTGTGCTGCCGTCACTTTGACATTATCTTAAGACTGCACAGACCATATGCTCACCTGGTACAGATACCTGTGACTTCTGGTACATGGTGAATGACAGAGATCTGCTGAGCCTGGCCGAGTCACTAATTGGGAAGATTGTCAAGATTCACTGATAACAAAGAGGATAGAAGTAAAGGAGAGCTACTCATGCTCAGGTAGAAGGTGGTAGTGGAATCTAGAGTCCCCCTAAACAAATACACGAGCTGAAGGGAGCCCGAGAATCTGTCAGTAGGAGTGGTGACATTCTCAAGGCCAAGGTGATCGCTGTCACAGGCCAAGATTTGAGAAGCAAGGATGTGGATGGCAGGTTGTCATTTTACAAATGGCTATGTGGATAAGGTTGGTCGAGGCAGCATGATTCTGCGATGCAGCTAGGAGGACTATGGTTAAGGTTACTGTGTTGCATGGCATTGGGCCGACTGAGCTGCCTTTTGTGTCTACTCAAGTACCATTTTGCCAACGTCGTTGCTCTCTTGTATCCAAGGGTATGAGTGAGAAAAACGGGAAGGACTTAAACCCAGTAGTCAAGACACCGGGATCTCCTGGAACCTCCAATTACTATGCGGGGCGAGGTTGTTCAATACATGATCAATGCCGTATTTAGTCTCCTTGCTTGTGTAGGTTACTAGATGCTAATACCAGCAAATCGATTTCCCAAAGCCCCGTCTGCCAACAGTTCGGCAAGTGCGGCAGAAAGCAATGACAAACCGGAGATTTCATTTCAGTGTTCCCGAGATTGACGTATACATCGAACACATCTCAGCAAAATGATAGATCATACCCGCCGTATCTTGGATGTAGATTACAGCAAGGTGAGGCCTAGGGCAGAGCACAAATCCTTAAATGAAGCTTTTGGAATAGCGTTTTCTCCTAATCACCACGCAGCCGACTATCATCATATCTGCACAAGGCTTAGGTCACGTCAAGGGGGCTTTTGCAAAACATTGCGGACACCGGAGGAGCATCGCTTGGAATCCGTTGGCCATAGCGACAACGGCGCCTGCTGGAAAGAGCTTTAAAAGATAAGGAATATTGGTTGTGGTGTTGAACACCAAAGTGCTGGTTCACGCTTCAAGGTCATAGTGCGCGCCCATTATGCTTCTGAATCATTTCTACCGTTCTACGAATGCATCCTCAGCCCACTTTCTGTACGTTGTTTCAATCCAGTCCCCAAGCCTCCTCAATGAAGCAACTAACTGATACAAGCCCAAGAGGGTTCTCGTGTCTCCAATAGACAGCTCCTCAGCAACTTCAATGTGACTACCATGAAAAGAAGCAAAAGAAATATGCCACTCATGTCCCACGACATGGATGAGAGGAATTGTCGGCATCTTGGCGTGAGGCAAGAGCTCCGTCATGCGTTTGAACCATGCAGCGGTCCAGACTGAAAGTTGGAGTTTCCCTTGGTTGGACGAAGTTGCAGTTTTGGTCTCGATGTTGCAGGCAATCGGAGCATATTGCAACGGTGCGTATGAGGATTGATTGACAAACTGAACGTCACGCTCCTGAGCCCAAACTTTGTTGGCGATTCGAGCCATTAATCGACCATCAGCCTCCGGAGGTACTGGATCGTGAGGTGTAGATCGCGGACTTCCCTTATTTAACCACAGAAGCAAGGTGAAGTCGATCATCTTACTCTCGACAACTGTCGCTTTGCCCTTTGTAGTTGGTACAAAACAGGGCGCAATCTTGGCCGATGTAGACGGCTCGACGCGTATGGCTGGATAACCTGCCAATGCATGCCTCAACACAGGCATGTGCACCCACATGTTCCAAGATGCCTCAGAGCAGTCGGAAAGTTTACACTGTTTCGCATCGGATTCGATTTCGCGCAAGAACTCGAGCTCTCTGTTTGCGGCCGTGAGCTTTTCGGTATTGTTTTCGTCTTTCTGACCAAAGAACCACCGGTCTTTGATTCGATCGGGAATGATGGATTTGATGTTCTGGTTAATCTCCCATGGGATGAAGTTTTCCTTGTCATCGATATCTTGCAATCTTCGATATAAGTCGTGCACACTTGAAGGCAGGATATCAATCCCATTCATGTCTAGTTGTAAAACGTCGACCGGCACATCGAGAGCTTGAAGATTGTTGTTGGATTTGACTGGACTTTTTGGTCGCCCTCTTCTGCTGGTCGGGGCATCTGATGTTCCCGGAGATGGCGGAGGATCTTGAGAAGCATGAGATGAATCCGAAGGAGGGATGTTAGGAATGTTGACGAGGCGGAATGGAATTTGTTGGTCGTTCAAGACGCCAGACGCGGGTACTCTGCTTGAACGAGGGGTAACATCATGGTCCTCATCCGAAGCCCGAGACCCAACCCTTTTCCGCTTTGGTGAGATTTGTCTAGCGGACATGCCCTCATTCGATGAAGGAGGAGTGATTTGTGACCAGGACTGTTGGCGAAGCTGACGACACTTTGAATGCACTGGATGTTGAATCTCTGTAGTGAGGTTGGTTACATCGACACTTGATGAATCTGGAATGGCATTGAGCCAGTGCTCAATAGATCGCGCACAGCCCATGAGAGAGAGAGAGAAGTGAAGGTCGGATCAGCTTGAAAATATAGATAAAAGACGATGATATAATCACAAGTATGTAGGTGCGTGAACTCTTGATAAACGGGTTTATTTACGAGTTGTTGTTGACGTGATCGAGTTGGCGGGGCAATGGCCGGCTAAAGATCGGTCGGCCTCGTGCGCTCACTGACTAATCATCATACGATAGCACTATCTACAGTAGCAATCAGGCATAATTACTTTTTCAACATGATTCGCAATTGGCCCCGAGCACGACACGTAAACATGAATCAATTTGCAATTCAGCGCCATTAGTTTGTTATCCGTAACGCTCCTTATGCATGCTTTTCGCAAATCGGTTAGGCAGTTGCATGTGGATACTTGCACGGATGTTTACACTTGAAACCAGCTTTCGGAGAAGCCTGAACAAGTTTTCTATATTTATTAGTGCACTCTTTATATCGTACATCACCACGATTGAGATGTTGGGCACTGGCATTCGTTATGTCGTTTTTCCCGGATGCTAAGATCGGTCCGGACCCCTTCAACCGTCATGAATGTTAAAGAGAGAATTAGGATCAACGCTATTCTAGTCGCTACGAAATTCTGAGCCGTGATCCACCTAGCTAGGCTCCTTCTATATTATTCCTACCAGTGGATTGAGCGGCATAACGAGTACAGATCAACCTTCTCTTGCGCGTTTTTAAGTTTTCTATAACATACTTGCCGGCTGAGCAATCTGGTTGCCGCTCTTACCAGTTCTACCTTTGATTGACTTGACGATTTTCCCGTTACCAAGTCTCTTTATGACAAACGACCCATCTTTGGACCACTGGTTCATCCAAACACTGTCTATAGATCAGGTAAGCTCTTGTCGGCTCCTCCAAGAATGGTTCATTTCTTTGATCGTACAGGAGACCGTCTTTGTGAATCTAGTGACAGAGGACTTGACAAGCTGCGCATTTCCTTTGGTGAAACCTTCCATGTATTCATTGCTAGGTGAGAGCCTACGACATCTGAGTCCAAACTCTGGCGTCAAGTAGTCTGCGATATCATCGTTGCCAATACTAGCTCGCATAAAAGCCTTCATGTCGATTTTCGCTTTTTTCGAAATGTCACTGGTTTCATGTTGCTGGGATTAGATGTCTAATCAGCCAAAGGGTATTTTCCGTTTGAATGCCATTTGAGAGCTCACCAATGGGGCCCTGCCCCCCAAATCCTTTTCGGGTTTCCCAATATAGTCTTCACAAGCCTTTGGATCATTGCGAAACTTTTTCTTCTGTTCTTCGGTATCTAAGAGCGCGTTAGGTGCTCATATGAACCAGGGTCTCTGGTCGTAGGTAACGCAGGTGATCGAGGGCCGCCTTCAGTGATCTTGTAACTGACACAACAATAGCAAAACAGGGATCAATCTAGTTTTCACGGGCGAGAAGCCCAACTCCTCAGCCGTTACAAGCTAGCGACCGAAACAGGCGCAAACAATCACACCCCAAGACCCAAGTTGCGAAGGAATCCTTGTCTTCTTCATCTCCTGCACCAGGACAGGCGCCCTCTCTCATCCTTTCACGACAAAGCCTATAGTAGACAGGCTTTTTAATACGGTAAATATGAGAATTTATCTTGTTATATTTTTCAAGAATCATTATAGTCATGTGCTAGAGTTATTAGACTCTGCAACTAAAGCGTCTATAAAAGAAGCAATCGTCATGATGTTATCGTCAACTTGGCCATGATTGTTTAGCCAACGAGACTCAACAGAAACATCAGTTTTCCCCCATCCATATGGCTGCAGCTCAATGTCTTGTGTTATTGGCAATTCATGTTGATAATGTTGTTGATGATGTTGGTGTTTGTGTTGCACACGAGGCGGCTCGGTGACCGTGTCCTGACTCAATGAAGGTTCTAAGTCATTTCGAGACTCAGACTTCTTCAGTTCGACTTGAACGGTTACCTCTTGGAATACAACAATACCCCCGTTTAAGAATGATTGCTGGTGTGCGGTGTAATGACGCTCAGGGGGGTATACGTCCACTATCTCTGTCGACGGAGGGCGCTCACTGAGGCCTTCGCTAGCTCCAGGGGGACACAAGTTGATTGTTGAGGATGAGCGTATAGAATCTTGCGACGGAGCGCGAATCCTCATTCCTGTAACGCCAGCTTTCTTACCCTTTGAATCTGCCAATGCCACAGCACTTTTCAGTCGGCGGAGTGTCGAAGACGGTCCGGAAGTGAGCTCATTATTCGCCCGGCTTGCGGGCATGTTCAAAGGATCAAAGTCGTGATGGAGAACCCGTACAAACTCCTGTCGAGATTGTTCCAACACCTGTCGCATTCTGAACAGGTTGAGCGGGACCCATTGGCAGTTGGGACCAAACGAGATGACGGGATGAGGAATTTTGAGCCGCAACGCCATCATGAAGGTCTCGTCTGCTTGGTCCCCATCAATACCGAACGGAAGTCGCACGATAGACGATGCGAGCACAGCATCATGAAACAGAGGTTCCTGCACCAAACCACGTAGTGAATCAATGGCATTGGAGAGATACTTGGCGAATTGTTCCTCTTGAGGAGACCTCGAAGATGCACCTGTAGTTCTCAACCGTTGGAGGACTTCTGGTACTCGTAATCCACCAAGTCCTCGCAAAAGGCCCATGTGGCAGTCGTTGATACTATTGAGAGGTAAAGGTAGTGAAGGAATCAAGTGACGAGCGTCTCTCCGTACAAGGACTTGGGCCTTGTTGAGCCCTGGATCCTGGACAGCGAAGAAGCCTAGATGAACCCCAGGCTTGATCCGAACTTGCTGATCAACAAAGCTTTTCATGTCGCGAAGCTTTGATTCGAATTCGGTAGACTGAATCTGCAAATGGGTCGTTGAGTTGTTGCTTACTTGGCCAGGGTCGACAAAACGGAATCCAGCCGATACGAGTCTCTTGACCTCGTCGTCTGATTCAAGGCGACGAACCAGGAACATCAGTGCGCCTCGTGCGTCCATGCCATTCTCGAGTCCGACCTCTTTCTTGAGGCGGCCAACTTCGGTTGAGCCCTTACTGCTCGTCTCGCTCAGTCCGACGGTATCATCGCCTCGGCGTTGTTCAAGTGCTTGTAGGTAAGCTGGGTTTGGAACTGTTCTTTTGGGCAGGATTTGATCCCACAGAACCCCGATTGCTGTGAGGGGCTCGTTGAGGCGATCGCTGAGCTCAGAAGCGGCGACGCAGAAGAGTTCGCGGAAAATGATTTCGTATCCCTCGATGAGCTTCCCGTCGTCGGTAATCAGCTGGATCCCCTTCCTCGCATCCTTATGGCGTCTTTTGTGTGGTAACTGTGCTAGATGTTGTTTCATGCCGTTTATTAGTCCCGAAATTCCGATCCAATTCCGCGAGGCTTGAAACATCCAGTGAAACTGTGAATGAGCAGTGGTGAATCTTTCCTTGGTGTTCTATGAAAGGAAAAGAACCCGCGTTAGTTGTTCGACTCATGCATGGACTGGGAGACTTGATACGTGAGGAAGCGGGGGATAATCTTACCTCTCCGATGAAGAAATCAGTGACAACAACGTTGGGGAAAACTCCGTTGGAATCAACAAGAAGACGTCCGTTTTTATCAAACACAATAGCGCCTAATGCAATCTGCTGGGCACGACGGGCTGCTTGCTTGAGTGTGCGGGCTCGAAGGATAGCTGATCCAGCAATGATGATACAAGCACTGAGAGACTATCAGAGTTAGTCGACCTGCAGTTGGATGACGTGGTGTTTGGTTATAGAAACAACGAGTCGGCAAACACTTACCAAACAAATAACTGCAATCACCGTCGCAGTCCGTGATCCTCCCTCTGCTCTCCCGAGCTGAACCAGTCGATACTCAGTGCCAACAGAGGCACACCAGTGCATACTGGATACCGCTCCAGCCAGGACAATAGCAGAAATAGTCCGTTTCCACCAGCTACTCGCCGAGAGCGATTGGAAAATGGAAAACATGGCCAATGCCACGGTACTGGCAACAACTGCAATAATAGCAGCCCCCGCGATATATGCCGTGGCATAGATGCACCGATAGTTTTTGATGGAAGCATTACCCAAGTAGTGCATCCCGCAGATAGCAGAACCACAAAGAATTCCAGCAGTTACCACCCTCCACCAAGCGATTCGATTTGTGATGCCTATTGCGTAAAAGGCAGCAAGTAGGACAAGAACAGGCAAACAGAAAGAGAGTACTGTGATGCCACTGGAGTAGGCAATCTGCATCTCTGTCTCCCCATCAGCAAGGATGAGCGCCTGGTTTCCAACAAAATGCTGCACAGGAAATAAGTGTGTATTCACGAAAAGAAGCAAGCCATGATGCAGTGAGATGGTAGAAAACTTGCAACTTACCATGCACCAAATAGCTATACCACCCATGGTGATTGCAGAGCACCCGAGTACCAGACTAATGCCTCTGTATCAGCAGACCGTCTTGGAAATACTCATGCCTTGGCTATCATGCATACTGATTCGAAATACCGTTAAACCATGATCGCCGATTGACCAATTCAAGAGTCGAAGCAGCGCCCACCAAGCTGATGAGGTAGCTGAGAGCCAGGTAGCCGGCATTGTATGCCTTTGGCACAATCTGGCCCTGATACTGCTCGAGAAGGTCTTCAACAGTCATCTTTGGGGGTCGCAGATGTAGCTCAAGACAAATGAACCATGAAGTCAAGAACATTTACATAACAGACTTTTTGCGAAACGAAAAATGGAATGACGATCGACAGCTTTTAATACTAGGAGCGTCAGGGGCAGGCTTGGACTAAACAGGTTTGGTCGCGGAATAATGATTTGAGCCCCGGATGCATTAGTCCTCTTGGGGAGTTAAGCTTTCCGAGTCATGGTCCAGAATGAAACATGAAACGGGGGCAACCACAACGCGACTGACAGACTTTGAGGCACAACTTTACATGCTCTGTTGACTGACAAGAAAATTGAGACAGTTCAAGTCCAGATGGCGCCAGTGGTTGTGTCAATTTTCCTGTCACCGCCCTCACAGCCCGTGGGATCGATCCGCCATTAATTAGTTCAAAGCCAAGGTTGCATTCCTTACGAGTTCCGTCCAATAGTGCTTACTGGGTTACGATAATCGGATTGTGTAGTTTGGCTAACCGGACTGTGTTTCTAATCGAAAAAGGCTATATTTAGCGCATAATCTTAGTCCCGATATGCGGTATAAGGCCTCGCTACTGGAATGCTATGAGAAGCCTATATACCTTTTATCGCATATACCTTTTACCTCTTTTATAATTATATTTCGTAGGCCGCGATAAGGTTGTCTTAAAGGATTCTATTTTACCCTTTAATTACCTATAAAATATAAGAGGAAAGAAGTATTATAAGAATTAATAAAGATAGTAGATTGCCCTAAGGCTATTAGCGCGGCGAGAAGCGGCGTTATTATTATAAATAGCTGTAATTAAGGAGGTAATTAACTCCGAGGGGTATTACGTGAAACCTTCTTAATCGGGAAGGGATTTTTAAGCCTTCCTTAATTAGGAAGTGCATAGTCCGGTTAGCTAAATACCATAGTTATCACGGCCTAATATGCAACTATCATATACATAAGCGGGACCCTATAATTCCTTACCAATCAAACAAGCGATCACCCTCACTACCAAACGATCATAATAATTACCTTATTAATCACTCTAATTACTTATATAATCACCCTAATTAGGGTTAATAGGCAAAGTAATCATAATTAATACCTAAAGTATATAGAATATACTTATTATACTTTCTTATATAATAGCTACCTTAGCTATTAATATAACTTAGTTATACTTAATACCTTTAAGTATATTACTAGATATAATATTATATTACCCTTTAAGGCTATATAATATAATTTAGTACTAATATAAACTAATATAACTAATTTATCCCTTAAGAAATATCCTCTTATTATATATTAATAGCTCTTATTTATTAGATTACTTATATTACCTTAAATAATATTAAACATAATAGCTACTTAGGCTACTCCTAGTAATAACTATTAGTAAGTTCTATTTACTAATTACTTACCTATTTTTATCGCATTAGCTTAGGCTAACTTTAATAATAATAAAAAAATAAATAGTAATAATAAAAAAATTAAGTAACTCTATGCCTAGGTTATTATTATAACTACCGAAATAAAGGAACTTAGAGGACTTATTAACTATATAGCTATTACTTAATAAATCTAAAACTAATAATACTATAAGAATATCTAGAATATTAATAATATAGCGATTATTATTATAAAGGGTAAAAATATTAAAGAAATCTTAAAGCTAAAATAATTAAAGAAATTTAATAATACTATATATAAATTATTAATATTTCTTATATAATTATATATATTTATATTTTATTACCTTACCTAGTTTATTATAATATCTAATAAGGTCTAATATACTATAAGATATCTTACTAAGCATATTATAGCTTAATTTAAACCTATTATAAAGGAATACCTTATTAAACTACTTAGCGAATACTCGCTATAGATTATAAACCTCTATTTTAGCTTTAAAACCTTTAAAGCTATACTTTAATAAGCCTTTAAAATAATAGATAAAAAGGCCTAAGTAAAAAGAAAAATTAAGGTACTCTAATAAACTTATTCTATATTAGAATATAATATTAAGTACCTCTAGCTTACCTTAAAGCTTAATTAAGATTAAGAACCCTTAATATCCTTTTTCTTTAATAGACTTAAAAGGGAAATATAGGCTAAACTCTATAAAAAAGACTAACCTAATAACCTTATTAATTATATTAGCTAAATAATTAAAATTAATAATTAATAGTTTTCTTAGAAAAAACTCTAGAACCCCCGCTATAATAAAAAAAACTATTAGAAACCTCGATTTAATACTAACTAGGGATAAACCTAATAAACCGATACCTCCTATAGAACCTATATAGGACCTATAAAACTTAGAATAACCTAATAAGGAACCCTAGGCATAAAATATTACTATTACTATAAGAAGGGATATAAAATAAATAAATATAAGAAGAAATAATAAGATATCTAAGAAGGATAATATAAACCTAAATAATAATAGGTACTTCCTAAAGGAAAGAAGTAAATAAGATTTATATAAATTAATAATAAACCCTAGATAGCTCTTTAGATAATAAAGATACTCGGCATAGCATAAGTAGGCTATAACTAAACCGGAGCTATATTCGGCTAGATTAATATACTATATTAGTAAGCTTACCTTATAGAAGAATAGGCTAGGGAAAATAAGGTCGCCTAGAATAATAAGAAAGATTAAGTATATTAGATAACCCGACCCCGGAAACTTAATTATATAAACCTTATAGATTATATTAGGATATAATTAGAATATGAATTACTATTAGAGCCTATTATTAAGGTTAGTACTAAACTAAATACTAAGACTATTGCGATTACCCGAAAAAGACAGCATAATTAAGGCAAGAAATAATAGAGGATTCTAAAAGAATAATAGGGAGAATTATCTTAATAACCTAACTAATATTATAAAGACCCTAGCTATGCTAATAAAGCATAAGCCTAGTAGAAACTAAATATAATATGCGCCTAATAATATAAAAGTAACCCTATAGAAGCTAAGTAGGAAGAAGATTATGAGATTATAGTTAAAAAGGAGACTAGATTATACTATTAGAAGGAGAAAAGAAATAAGTATATCTAATTAGCTAGAAAAAGATAAGATATTAATAACACTAGTAATATCTATATATATGCTTATTATATAGACCTCGCTATAAACCCACGGTAGCTAAAAATATATTATAATCTATAAGACGATATATAAACTATGCGTATATACCCTAGATATAAAGAAATCTTATAGATCTCTTATAGGGACTATTATTATATTACCTATCTAGAAATAAAAGAATAAAAGAATTATTTCCTAATATAACTTAAGGATCCTAATATATAACCCTACCTTACCTATAAAATATTCTAATATATACTAGAGTAATAATATAAAGGAATAGGCATTATATAATTATAGTTCTAGCTAACTAAGGATAAATCTATTAGCATAAAATAATAGCTAATTATTACTACCTAGAGAACTATAGCTAAATAAGTAAAAGCTCTAATAAGAGAATATAATAATAATAAAACTACCTTATATAATAATAATATATATCCTAGATATAGATAATATATCTTAGCTACCTATAATAAGATTAAATATATAGCTAAGGAAGGATTTAATTTCTTTATTTATAAAAGAAAAGAAGATAATAAATAATAATATAAAGAAATCTAATTATATCTTAGAAGGGACTAAGGATTAACCGATTAGCTCCTATAAGATTATGCTAACTATATTAGGCGCGGTAACCTAGATAAGGTCTACCTAATAATAGAAAAGAATCATAGCGATTACCCTAATAATAATTAGATCGCAAAATAAGCCTACTAAGAATAGCTATATAAATAAGACGACTATAACTATAAAGCATATAGTAAAAGTAAATATAAATATAATTATTATAGCTATATACTCTATTAGTTAAAAAACTAGATACCTCGTCTAATATAAGGCAATAGATAGATAAATAAGGGAATAAATTACCTTAGAAGGCCCTTTACTCTATAGATAGAGGATATAGGC